CTATATTTAATGCACCCGCAACATTCAGATCTTACGTTTGGAAATACTACGGCTTCGAAAAGAAAGACGGAAAGCTTGATAAAACCTCCGTAATTTGCAAAGAATGTCACACTAAGAAGCCATACAACGGCAGCACCACAAATAGGCAGACCCACTTCAAACGATGGCACCACATCACCGACAAGTTTCCCGCCCCCTCCCCCGCCCAGTTCCTCGTCGGACACCGGAGAAACTCTTGGAAAACCAGGTCAGGATCAGAAAAAAATCGCCTCTTATTTTGGGGGTCCCCTTGCAGCTCACCGTGACCGCACAATGGCTATAACTAAGTCCACTGCTTATTTCATATGCAAAGACCTCCAGCCTTATAGCGTGGTGGACAACGAGGGTTTCAGACAGCTCGTGCACGTTTTGGAACCCAGGTATAAAATACCGGACAGGTCTGTGTTCACTTACAAACATATTCCCAATCTGTACAACAAAGTGAGAAGTGAGATTACTGTGTCGCTGAACAGTGCGCAAAGAGTTGCATTTACAGTGGATGGGTGGACGTCTTGCGGTACTGACTCATATATAACAGTGACGGCACACCACGTTGACAAGGAGTGGGAAATGCAAAATTTCGTTCTTCAGACCAGAGTTTTCCGTGAGTCGCACACCGGAGCAAACCTTGCGGAGTTACTGCGCGACGTTTGCCGCGAGTGGAACATTGGCGATAAGAAGCCAGCGTTAGTCACGGATAATGCCACCAACATGATACTGACGGGGTCCGGCGCAGAAATGAAGCTGCATGTGCGATGCATAGCACACAGCCTTAATTTGTCTTGGCAAAAAACATTTGCAGTAGACCAGGTGAAACCTATCCTGGTGAAAATAAGGAGAGTCGTTACATTTTTTTGGACATTTCATTTTGAGACATTCAGTGAGGGTGGTCTGTGTAGCTACAGCAGGGGTCCCCAACCGCCGGTCCGCGGACCGGTACCGGTCCGCCGGGCATATGGTGCCGGGCCGCACAGAAAGAACTTGCCTTAATTCCGTTTTATTTATTTCGGAATACGAAAGATGTTTTATTTTGAAAAACTACCGGATTCTACGCTACATCCGTCTGTGTAACGCTTGACACACGTCAAGCCACGCTTCTCCATCACGTGACCGATTACTTCAAATTTTTTTTGCAACGGCGACGAAAACAAAATTACGAAGTAGACTGGACATAAACCACACACTTGAGGTGTCATTGTCTCCTATTAACCCGAGATGGGCCGTCTGGTTGCAGAAAATCAAGCTCGGTGCTGTGGTGAGTCGTCATTTTCATGCACTTTCAATTTGCGTTGTATCGTATTTTGAAGGCATTAAACATTGCCATAGCGATCGGAGTGTTGCGGCCAGATTAGACGCTCCTTGTGTTTATTATTATATTTCGAAAACACCACAGTTTTTCATGCAGCTCATACCACATTATTTTGTTGTATTATTTGCGCCACACCTTAAATGCCGGTCCCTGAAAATATTGTCTGACATAAACCGGTCCGTGGGACAAAAAAGGTTGGGGACCCCTGCGCTACAATACAAACAGCAGCTTTGAGCCTGTGACTGCCATATTGTTTAAATTGTATTTTATTTTCTGTCCTATGGAGATGGATATTTCATATAAGACACTCAGTGAGAGTAGTCTGTCTGTGTTTACACTACAGCAACATCTGTGAGTCTCAGGTGCCAAATTGTTTACATTTTCTTTGCACAAAACCCAATTGTGAAAGGGCTTAAATAAGTTGTTTTACACGTTCTACTGTTTATAAGGAATAAAGTGGTATCCTTTTTGTAATACCATACTGAATTCCATCTTTTTTTAAACTTTTTTTCTTTGCTTATTTGCATCATGTTTAATCGCACAATATTGCAACAAATTGCATTGTATCGTATCAGATCGCATTGATTTGAACGAAATGTGTATCGCATCATATCACATTGTGAAGACGGTGAAACGTATTGCATTGTGTCGCCAGAAAATTCCATGTATCGCATCGCTGGTAGTGCATCGAGATGTGTATCAAATCGTCCTCAGTGCTGAGATTCACATCCCTAAGAGGTTGTGGGTGGGCTGGATGTGGGACCCAGCTGGTACTGTGCCCATGGCTGCCATTGATGGTAATCAATTAATTACCGCCCACAACCTCCAAAGTGCTTGCCTCAACAAAAGAGTTACTTTCGCAGTGCTTTGTGATTCAACAATCTTTCTGATATTGACTGTTAGACATTATTAACACAACACAGTATCAAAAAAAAAAAGAAATTACATTTTTATCATCACAAAAGTTTATTTTGTACACTTGTGAACATACATCAGTTTCATATCATCATTGCTTACATGCTCAGAAAGGTCTCTGCGCTGAACTTCAATCTGACTGAACTCAACACATTACACACAACAATTTTGCTACACCTTGACACCATATGGCAGCCTCATTTGCATTTACTAAAAAGAACACAGCTGACATTTTTTTTTTGGGGGGGTGGTGATCAAAAACAAAAGTTTAAAAAACGGGACCCACTGGATTCCTGGTACATTGAAGCTGAAGGTGAGCTGGCTGACAATTTGCAATGAGGATTATATGGTAAATCCAGAGTTGAATGTTAGAAGAGAGCACCTGAGCATGTCACAGTAGATGGAACATGTTGAAATGTTAAAAGTTTTATTTACAAATCACTGAAATCCGCAAGACACAACCAGGGGAAAAAGACAAACATTGGTTATCGGGAACATGTAATCCATAAGTCTGAAGTAAAACCAATGCTGGTTATAAGATCATTTTGAAAAATGATCGTCAAAGTATGAAAGCAACATTGTAAAGGATTATTGAAGTTCTTTCTTGTGCAAGTGTGCCTGTACGCTGCAGAGCATCCCGGCAAGTTGCTGTCAGACTTCAGATGCAAATTGTCAGGGCTACCAGTGGCTCCACTGCTCGAAACGCTTATCATTACCTAAAAGAGAAGCCAGACAGCAGAAAATGTGGCTCCCCGTGATAAACCAATAATTCAAGAAACGCGAATGTGATAAGGGGATCAAACACTGACAAAATGGTACAAGAAATGCAAGTATTCCCTTAGAAACCCTTTGTTGGTCATATTTTCACTTGAACAACAGGTCATCTTGTTGGGATTGAATTTCATACAGTTCATGTCATTCCATCGATTCATGTTATGACTAAAACCAATGTCTATTTTAAGTCATCAACTGGATACAAGTGTACTCTTCACTCGAAGACACAATATAAGCATTGTTTTTCCTCACAATAGTGGCAAAAGGAACAGTGCTGTCAGGGTATATGGACAAACTTGGGCCAAATCTTTATTGGCTACGGCAAACTTTCAGTCTTACTTTGAGGGTATTTACACCCAAACCAGGTGAAGCGTGTTGGAATTACACCATTTTGTGCATGTGCTTACCACACCCATAACCATAATGAGGCACAAACAACTTGCACCACCTTGCTGCTATTGCCCCTCCCACCATTAGACGGGAAGTTACGAGCCAAGTTGGGAAGACCAATGGCTCAACAGACAAATGCCACGATCTTCACAACGACTGAAGTCAAGCAGGTGCTGTCTCAGCCATGTCCAATCCGTAAAACCATCCCTGGAGGAAACAACACCCCCGGTCTGGTTGGAAAAGCTCCAACCAACCAGTTGACATGCACATATACCACCTACTGAGGAATTTCCTCCATGAATCCAATAGAAAACCCTGAACCACCTGACAAAAAGAGCAGGACGGTACAGAGTTGCTTTAAACAAATGACGCAACAATACTGGACTAACCATCTATGAATGTGGAGACGCTAACCACATCATGGACAGTGTGGCCACAGTTACTTCACTGATAACTTGACTTCAACCCTTTCAGGGACAGCGGTTCCTACAGTGGACAGCTTATCAGGTTATCAGGTTACAGGGTGCATATGAAAGCGTTAAAAGTTATAAGCTGTACACACACATGCTTCTTCCAATCACAATTCTCACAGCAGCCACATACATTTCTTATTCACATGGTCCATACATTTGACTGTATGTATGATATGTACAGTATTTATTGTATTGGAGCATATTGAAATAAAACCCCACTAAACTCGATGTCTGCTCCCCATGGGAGCAAGATGTATGCAGCCGGAAGTTCCCCCGACAAAAACGAGCTCCTTCCAATCACAATTATCACGGCGGCTGCCTGAATATCATTAACGTTGCAAAAAAACAAATGTTTCCCTGGATCAGAGGTGCCCATTACGTCGATCCTGATCGACCGGTAGATCTAAGACAGGTCCCAAGCAGATCCGAGGAGTGGAGAGGAGGAAAAAAACCAAACAACCATTTGTGTGTCTTTGTACATGTTAGTAATATATTTTTTGTGTTAATGTACGCTGCCCCCTAATCATCCTATCAGTCTCATTTTCACAAAAAAAAAAAAAAAAAAAAAAAAAAGGTTTTAAATAAAATAAAGCAGGTAAATCTTGAACCTACGGTGGCGTGTGATTACGTCACCAGAAGTTGTTAGCGCTCAGCCGTCTGCAATTGGTGCTTGTAATCAGAGCTGTTGCACTATATCTTTTATCGTCATTATTTTCATTCAGAGTTTGCTTCGTGTACAATTCACCGAGGGCACGGGCAAAGAATAGGAATCTAGGAGGGCCCAGGGAAGCACTTTAAAACGGTACGTGTGAGCTATAATAGTTAACAGGCTGCAAAAGTGAATCGCATGCCTCCGTGTCAGGCTGTTTCTCATCATGACGCGCGTGCGCGCGCACACGCGCGGTAAGGGGCGATCCTGGGAGGTTGGTTGATCGAAAAGTAGATCTAAGGTCCAAAAAGTTTGGGCACCCCTGCCCTGGATCGATGAAAAAAACAATTATAAAACAGACAAAAGAAAAATATTTGAATAAGATTGTTTTGCTATTTTGGAAGGTAAATATTTTTCACTGGAGGAGCTGTTTTTCTCCCCACCTAACTTAAAGTTAAAGTGCATGAAGCTCTTCTTTGTTTACTGTCTTATTTCTTCCTATGAAGTATTGTTTTCACATATTTCTATGTTGTACCATATTTATTTTCAACCATACACTGATTAAAATTTTAAAACACAAATCTTACCATAAGAAATATAATCTGGGGGTTGAAACGGATAAATTGCATTTCTATTCATTTCAATGGACAAATTTACCTCGATTTACACGTTTTGAGTTACACATGGCGTCACAGAAGCAATTAAGTTCGTAAATTGAGCTACCACTGGATTGAATAATGTATGCTCAAAAAATATGACTTGCCCAGGCAGCAGGTAAATACCCCGTGACATTGTGGGGAATAATGCTCTGCATTTCGTATTCATCCGACAATTAAACATAGTTTTGAATGAAATTATTTTGGTGTGTGGGTTTTCAAAAGGTCACTGACCTTCTTGGTATGCACCATCTGCCATCACCAGATGAAGGATGTTTGGATACAGATGCTGGTGCTCATTCCCCAAAATGCTGAAGGCCAAACTGGAGCCCAGATCGATATTATCATCATCAGCATCACGTATTGCCTGGAACGTCCAAAAAAAAAGTATGGGCTTGATCATTTGCAAATAAACAAAAGCTGACTGGAAGAGATTCCGGTTTAAGAGAAGAAGCGTGCCACACTTTTATTTTATTGTAGGCTTCAATGAATTTTTCGAAGCCCATCTGCTGCTCCAAGTTAAAGCGATGCTCTTCCAAGCGACTGTAAATGCTGTCATAAAGATGACTCTCTCCTTCCCGGTCCTCCTCACTGTTATCTATTTTAGAAAAGAGCAAGGTTATTATAGTTACCTCAAACAAAAATAAAATAGAAAACATTTTCATGAAGGAAACAAAATAAACATGAGAGTGCTTTTAAAGAAACAAAACCAAAAAAAAAAAATTTACGTTTTTTTTTTTAAACAAAACAAACTAGCATCCTAGTGAACATTTAATTACATTTTTTCTTTGTCAGTTAATGTCACATGAGCTTTAATTGCATGTACGGTTGCAAAGGAGAGAGAAGGTTGAACAGTTGTCTGGGAATTGTAGTCGCTATTTCGCGGTTCGATCATCGGAGGCTCAGTGCATCGCGTTTTTTTTTTTAATCCAACGTACTGTATTAGGAAAAAAAATGCATGGGGGCTAGGGTCTGGTGTTATTTCTGGGCTGCCGGACTTACTTGTCTTCGGCAGACTGGGACTCGTAATGTTTACAAATAAAGTTTGTAAGTATCCATTTTGAATACCGTTTTTTTCTCACTTGACGTTAGTTTGTCGTTACGTCGTATATGGGCTAAAACCAATATCTTACTTGTTGTGATTGGTTGCTATATTGGCAAATGCAGAGTCACAACCAATCCGTGTTTGCCTTCCTAAACCCCTTTTCCGCAAATTCTGAATGGTTTTGCACGAGGGATGTAGTGTATTGAAATTACTCGTGTATGTAGTCTGTATGAAACAAATACCGAATATTATCGAGACTCGAGACGAAGCTAACGTGTGTTAGATAGATGCAGATCTGAAAAACAAGTTTCGATGGGACTGGTTGCACAGAAAGCTGACGGTGTCCCCAGTAGGAACCAGTAAAGAGGAACCATTGTCTGTGCTTGTGTCAGATTTCGTGAAAAAGCTCGATGTCGCTGGTAAAGCTCTGTGTACAGTGTGTGACCATATCATTCTATATGCAAAATGCATTCATAAACAAATGTAGGAAACAGTTTGGGACTTCACTATCACTGTATGAGGTAAGAATCAACAGCTTTATATCACATTTACACAACATTTTATGAATACATGTAACGAACAAATCTTAAATATGGCAGGGAATGTGCTACCTTTTTTAGTTTTGATTTTGAGCAGCAAATTTGAAGTTCAACGTTGGTGCTCACCATGAATGAATAAGCAAAATTGCACAAAGGCCTATGTCAAATTTTCACTTGAAACAATGAACAGTGAACAATCTTGGGATTTTTTTTCTGTGAATGTTTCAAGTAGCGTGTACATTGAATACACTTCATCTTTAGCATGGTTAGTATAAAGTGCCAATTTTGTAAGCAAATAGGAATGGTATTTCAACAAAAATTGTAAAATTTTGTTGATAAAATTAATGGTTTTAAGGCTTTAAATCTCTAAAACCCATTCGCTTCCGGGGGCCGCAGGCCCCCAGACCCCCCGCTGATATTCTGATTTTTTTTCATCACAAGCCACTCTCATCCCTGCCAATGACAGCACAGGTGGATCTACCCATGACCAGCAACCTCCCTTGTGTCTTATCGCGTGGGTTACTCTTTGATCAGTGTTGAATCACGTGGTTGCCTAGATCAGTGTTCTGTTTACAATGCGTGTTAGTGTGTGCGAGTATGTGTGTGTGCGCGCACATGACTGAAGTTTCAGTCATGAAGATTGCCATGAATTCCGAAAAAATGCCCTCTTACCTGACTGCCATTCTTCATTAAATTGGCTTTTATTTGTGTGGGTCTCTTCTCTCACACCATTGCTGAGCAATGCTCCTGCTTCCTCTTCAACGGGACTCCCATTCAAACATTCTTCATCCTCATCCTCACCATCCTCATCATCATCTTGCACATCATCATCGTCATCATCAGCTACAGTCATCTGATCATTTTGCTGCTCAAGTTCTACTATGATCCTGTTGAAAAAGTATTTGTCTTCGGCGACTGTAGCATTTCCATTAAAGTCTCCTCTTCCATCGTGTGGGCGGTTCCTCATGAAGTCATTTTCTTCTTGCAGCAGTTGTTCCATGGATGCCCGAATGTCCCGCAGGTCTTCATCCTCATACGCACTAAGAAGCAAGCATATTCCAACATGGACTATTAGACAAACATGCTCTATTTTAAGGAACACCTGTGCAGATTTACATCACAATGCATGCTGTGATGCATGTAGTGAATATTTATTTATTTATTTTTTATGTGTGTCCAAAGCATGCTTTCCATTTGTGAGCGTGGTTGCCTTACTCTGACTGGTCATCATCTTTGCCTTCGTCCTGATCCTCATTTCCCTGGTTGCCGTCTGGTGCAATGCTGTCTTCAGTCGTAATGACAAAGTCCTTCTCTGCGCTGAAAACCCGACTAAGGTCTGGAAGGGAGCATGTCCGCAGCATCTGACAGTACAGGGTCCATCATTTTAGAACAAATACATAAGTACTGCCACGTTAAGAGGTAAATAAACAGTAATCTGATCAATAACGTAACTGTCAAATATTCATGGTGAAGAAACCACAAGCTGCCTGCCACAACTCACCACTTCTCACGCACTGAATCAAGCAAAAAGCAACAGGATATGTTTGTAGCTGTGCTAAGTCATGGTTAGCTAACACTGGTGGGGAAAATTCGCAGCATGGGTTGGGATGCATCTGGGAAAAGAATTACAACTGTCTGGATCCTTGGATCGAGCCACTTCTGAGCCTGAGTCAATGTAGAAAGCGTCTCAACTGGACCAAGAAGAAGGACTGGACTGTTGGCCAGTGGTCCAAGGTCTTCTTATCCAATGAAATTAAGGTGTGCCTTTCATTTGAGAATCAAGGTCCATGGGTTAGGAGGAAGATGTGTGAGGAATAGAACCCAAGCTGAGGTCCAGTGTGAAATTTCAACAATCAGTTATGATTTGGGGTGCAATGCCCAGTGCAGGTGTTGGTAAACTCCATTCATTATCCATTTTCTAATCCTCTAATCCTCATCTGCTTTCTTTAATCCAAGGTCATTACCAGGGATGTGTCCAAGGACCGGCAACCCGAGGCCAAGGCCAAGGCCAAGGACTTGCCTCCGAGGCCAAGGCCAAGGCCAAGGACTTGGAAAATTTTCCGAGGCAAGGCCAAGGCCAAGGACTTGAAAAATTTTCCGAGGCCAAGGCCCAAGGACTTGCCGCCAAGGCCAAGGCCAAGGACCAAGGACTGATTTTGAAACTGAGGCCGAGCCAAGGACATGTATAAAACAATGC